TCAGTTGGTGAGTTACTATTCAAAACACTGACAGTTTATAAAGAGGCTGATAATAAAAGACAATAATAATGAAAACTAAATAAAAACAAGAAGTATTCGTGGCAGAACAAATTTATAATGGAGCTGTCAGAAACAAACCCTATTATGAATTGGGGACCCTATCAAAACTTAAAACATCACTTATCATCTATATGCTGATGATGCCCTAATGTTTAAACCAGAAGTCAGCTAGCTTTAGATCTGTATCCAATGGTTACTGAATGTTTACTAATGTTTCTTAGGCACCTCAACCTCAAACATAGTGTAGCTTTAACCTTCCTCTACCTCCCAACTTACCATATCAACATTAGTCTTCAAATAAACCAAAATGAACTAACCTAAAAACAACTGGCTTCTCCTTTTTACCCTATATGGGTGGAGAACATTATCTAGTTAATAGCTCATGCTAACAGCATGTTTGACTCATCCTCCCACCCTGAAATTTTACTTCCTTTATGTCTTGTTTGATTTTCCCTTCTTCTTGATTTTCCCTATTATTATCTTTGGTTAAGCTATTTCCACTTTCCTATTTGTAGACATGGACTAACATAGTCTCCTGTTCACACTTCCCACCTCCATTCTGACTCCTTTCCAGTCCATCCCCCATTGTTGCCAGTTTAATCTTTTTAAAGTACATGGCAGACCATGTCACCCTTCAGCTTAAAATCCTTTAATGATTCTTCAGTCCCATTAAAGGTGGCAATATTTGGCCCAGGCAACCCTCCTCTAGTTCTGAGGTTAGAGCTAATCATTCTTTCCATTCTTTCGAGCCATGATATGACCTAGGAAGCCTTACTAGAACATGTTAGACGGTTATTACTATTTTGCATTGACGCTGAAATGAAATGTTTGTCATCCTTTACCCCCCAAGATCAAATTTAAACTCACCTTAGCCCTTAAGACCCTTTATGATTTGAATGCTGCTTTTCTGTTTAGCCTTGTATCCTGCCACTCCTGTTTCCTTTCCTGTCAACCTCTTTCCTCAAAACTAGCTTAAGTACACTTCTGAGTAGAACCTTTCAGGATAGTCTCCCCTTCCCACCAGATGGATTTTGATGCTTTTACATTGTGCTGTCACCTAGACTGCAGATTATCTTCCCTACTAGAGTGTAAACTTCTGAAGGGCAGAAACCATGCCTTCATTTTTCTCTCTCCAAAGCTCAGTAGAAGTTTAGCACATAGTATGCTTTCTTTAACAGTGTCTGTGAAGAAATAAGAGTGCGTTTGCTATATTTGACAGCAGCAGAATTAGAATGGACATCTAGAAGTTACACTCTTTGCATCCTGTTTTCCATCCCCATTCTGTGAATATTTTGTATTCTTCAAGGTCTTCTTGCAATGAGATTGTGTAATCATCTCAATAACCTGTCAGGAGGTTCCATCTAATGTTGAATGGTCATGATTCTAATCACTCTTCTGCCTTAAGTAGAAATGGAAAATAAATTATTGTTTGAAATAATCCTGTATGTTTTCAACAGATATGTTCTTTCATGTTTCATTTTACTGTTTAGAATCACTAATTACTGGTAGAAATGCATGGGTAAGAGTCGAAACTAGGTAACAATGAATCATGTTAAAGGTGTTTTTTAAAATAGCTTTATTGAGATATAATTCACAAACCATGTACTTCATCCATTTAAAGTGAAGTGTGTAATTCAGTGATTTTTAAAATATTCACAGACTTGTACAGCCATTACCACAATCAAATTTAGAATATTCTTATCACCCCATATGCATTAGCAGTCACTCAGCAGCCTTTCCAGCCCTACACAACTACTGATTTTCTTTCTGTCTCCATATAAGCTTGCCTGTAATGGACATTTCATATGAATGGAATCATGAAATAATGTGGTCCTTTGTGACAGGTTTCTTTTACTTAGCTTACTGTTTTTAAAGTACATTCGTGTTGTAGCATGTTATCAGTACTTCATTATTTTTATGATCTAATATTATATGTATATTCCATACTTAATTTATCCTTCAGTTGATAAGAATTTAGATTATGTCCACATTTTTACTATTAGGAATGATGCTGCTGTGAACATTCTTATACAAGTTTTTGTGTGGATATATGTTTGATTTCTTTTGGATGTATACCTAAGAGTAGAATTGCTGGGTGTACAGCAACTGTTAGTACTTTTTAGTAGTACTCTTAGTATATACTCACTGCCATATTGTTTCTGAAATGATTGTACCATTTTACAATTCCACCAGCAATGTATGAGAGTTGCAAATCGTCTGCATCCTCATTATTAAGAAGTAGTTTGATTTCTATCTGTATTCTATCCCTATTGTTAGGGAACCTGTCTTTAGTTTTTGGTCAAACCACAATATAGAAAACAATAAATCTAATGAAAGCTGAAAAAAAAAAGACAGACAATTGTCATTGTCTGTCTTTTTTATTATAACCATCCTAGTGGATGTGCAGTAAGTCTCTTGGGGTTTTGTTGTGTTTTGTCTTGTTTTTAAGTATTTATTGTGAATTGAATGGAAGTTTACAGGGCAGATCATCAGTTTTACATTCAACAAATCATATACTTTGTTTGATTACAAAAATTATAATCCCCTCCATGTACCATCAGTTAACAGTATTTCTCTCTATTCATTTTATCTCTTTTTTTGTTGTTGTTGGTAACACTCAGACATATATAATAATTTATACCACATTAGGGCACATTTTGCAGGCCTGCCTCCTGGCCACCAGCTCTCAGTCCCTCTCTTTCCATGAATGTAGAATTCTCAGCTGCTCCCTCTCTCCATGTCCCCATCTCTGCCACCATCTCTGGTGTCACTGTTTCTCTGGATTAGGTCCCGCATTCTGCTTGTGCTCTTCTCTTGATGGTCCTAGGGTCCTCTGTTTCTGGACTGTAAGATTAACTACTCCCAC